TTTCCTCTAGAATTGCTCTCATTATTTAAGTAAGATTAAGTATTTAAAAAAAAAAAAAAAAAATGCCCTACATGTTGAAGATTTAAATGCAATCTTAAACAATGAGGAAATGTTATTTTCCTGTGGCTGAACTCAAAAGAAACTATAAGGAAAATACAAAAACATTTTGATATTCTTTTTTGGTGAACAAAGGTATACATTTAGTGGCTCTTTGGTTACATTGAAGAAAGAGAAACATCTAGCAAAGGGACAGACGTTCCTCCAGTAAATCCTGTCAATGTTGTTATTCATGATGCAACTGGTTTTCAAATAAAAGCAAAATTGTTCAATGACAAGACATTTATTGGTAAAGATGTGGAGTGACCAGTGTTGAATATTTAACAGACTTTATAAGACCAACTATTCAATGACTTTTTGTCCTTCAGTCTTTTTCCTAATGTTCCACCTGCATCGTAGGAAGACGTGTTGTGTAGCCTCACAGTATGTTTTGCATCAGAGAACCAACACTCCACTAAATGGGTTTTCCCTTTTGTTAAACATTAGAGCACACTTACAAAATATCCCGATCCCCTCCTCTGGTTGGTTAAGAGTTGTTGTGAAAGGCCGAGGTTTACAGTAAATGGGCACACCTTGGTGTGGACAAAGGCAAAATAAGGCGTGGCTAGGACTGTATGATGGCAAGGTGATGGTAGGGGTAAGCGCTTACATGAGAACAGAACGCTTGAGGAAAGCAGAGCAAATATTTGCTGATCAAAAGTCGGCTGTGACCGTACAATATCTCCACATTTCTTTTTATTACAGCCAGAGTCAAGTCCATTTAGCTGGCAAGGAAGACTCCGACGAGTGAAATGGACTCTCCACTGGTGTTTGCCCTGATTCTGTTCACGACAACATTTGCTACAGGTAAGAATTATTTTGAACTTGAATTCATTTAGCAATTTTTATTATATTAATTCAGTTCAGACAAGGAAGACATTTTACAGATCGTACCGATTGAAAAAAGTTCTAAATGTGCTACTTTATGTGCTTTGACCGGTGTTTTTGTATTTAATATATGCATGTAGATGATAACTACTTTTTAAGGGTGACCGAGTGTTCCCTGCTTTCTGTTTCTAGCTACATCTATCCAGAAGATACATGCCTCTGAGAACCCGTTACCAGTGGGCAGCAATGTCACATTTTTCAGCCAGGACAATGTCACCGTAGGGGCGTGGCTGTTCGACAATGATATCATTGCGCTGATATTCCCAGGAAATACAATCATAACTAACAATTGGATTGACAGAGTTGCATTCAATTCAACCTTTTCATCATTGACTATAAGTTCAGTACAGCTGGAAGACTCTGGACTGTACACATTACAGGCAGTGAATTATTTTCGCGCCCAGTTAATGCTGTCAGTCCAAGGTAAGGACCACTTTATCACTTTTCATGTTGACTCACTCCTTGATGTATTTGCTCACATTCCACTATTGTATATTAATCAAAGCTCAGCCTATACTCAAACTTGCATACTCATAAACAAAAAGACAAAAGACTAGAGCAGCGTGGAAGTCTTGAGCTAGGACGATCACCTTGCCTGCAACATTTGGGAGATTTCGTTAGCTTTGTTCGAGTCCCACGTTGGTCTCATGTCTTTAGTTTCAGTCTTCAAATTAAATAATTAAAACATTTTGACTGAAATTATTTTAGTTTTGATATAACTTAAACATTCTAAATCACCAAACATGCATGAACATATATTAAAACATATTGGAGTTAGTCCAATAATACTGTCACAAAAAGTTAATAGTCCAATCTACTCTCTTAGTCAATTTAAGATGAGTGAAGTACAGTCTAAAACATTACTAAGAGTTTACGTCTAGTGGCTTTCTGAGGCTGTACTTGAACTAAATGCTAGTGTCAGTGTTTCTTATCATATTATTATCTCAAGCACTTACCTTAAAGCAAAGTACAACTGAGGCTGATGGGAATGTCAAGATTTTTAGTATTAATTTGGCCAAATACTCGACAAATACAAATTGTGAGCAGGTGATGGCACTGGCTGAAATGTTAAGAGATCAAAGTGATTACAATGTTTCCTCAGGTGGATCTGAATGTGCAAAGTACATTGGCAATCCACCCAAAAGTTGTTGAGATATTTCAGTCGGGACCCAAGTGGTGGACTTGCCGAACATCAGGCCAATATTGCCATCCATTGAGCGATGCCGCTAGAGAGGCTAATTATAACTTTGGCTTGGATCAGACTTCAGTTCAAGTCATAACAGTCATGTTTCCACCTCTGCCTACCATTGAAAGAGCCCACATTTCATGTCCACTGCAATCCCATGTTTCCACAAAACTTGCTAAATAGTTTATTTCCTTCCTTTGCAGTGCCTATTTCAGGTGTGACTCTGAGGGCAAACGCAACCAACCTGGTGGAGTTCAATGACACAGCAGTTCTCACGTGCTCTGTGCTCAACGGCTCGTCCCTGTCTTATGTTTGGCTGAAGGGCAGCTCTGTGGTCACAGCCGGCGGGGGAGTACAGCTCCACGATGGAGGTGCCACTCTCACCATGGTCCGGGTGACCCGCTATTACGAGGGGTCGTTCAGGTGCAATGTGTCCAACGGTGTGAGCCATGAAAGCAGTCTCCCTGTATATCTGAACATCAGCTGTGAGTTTGCACTAAAGAGAGCTTATATATACAGTAAATACATAGTGTAAATAGGCCTATGTATCACTCAACATCAACCCCTAACACAATGTCCCTCTTGCTGTTTCATCATCAGATGGTCCAAGTAACACAATGATGGTGATCATGCCCATGAGGTCCACCTACATAACAGGATCTAACATCACACTGTCATGCTCAGCGGACTCCAGCCCTCCGGCGATGATCCAGTGGATGGTTGATGGGGTGTACCTAAATAACTTTGGCCCACACCTTCAACTGGAGACGGTTACAGAGAGCAACTCAGGAAATTACCAATGCGTATTTCACAACACAGTAACGCTGAGATTCAGCAGCAAAAGTGCAATGATCAGGATTATGGGTAAGGTTGGATTTCTGGTATTTTGGAGGGTCATTTTTTGCACCTTTTGATTTTGTTTCTCTCAGCAAAGACATTTAGATTATTTTAAAGAACAGATGTTGTGGTGTGTGCTTATTTGCTTTCTTGCAGCGAGTTAGGTTATAGAATTGACCCTGGAGACAGCAGCCTGCTAGCTAAGTTTGATGAAGAGCTAGCCTGGCTCTGCCTAACAGCACCTCTAAAGCTCACTAATCAAGACGTTATATCTCTTTTGCTCAATCCATGCAAATACCGAAGTGTAAAACCATATAGTTGCTGTTTTACATACTTGACTATTTCTTGCCTGTGACTTCCGGAAATCTTGTTGTTCTCAATATTCTCATTTAACTCTTGGCAAGAAAAAGGTTAAAAAAGTGTATTCCCCAAAATGTGAAACTGTTTCCTGAAAATTGTCAATGTCATATGCCATTCACATACATGTGTGAGTTTCAATTACTTAATTCCCTTCTCCTCCTATAGAGCCAATAGCAGCAGTTGTGGTGAATCACACAGGTGGACCAGTAATACTTCATGAGCCGCTCAGTCTGCATTGTGAAGTGACTGGATTGGTTGCCAGCATTCAGTGGAGAAGGAATGGTCAACTTATTACAGCTGACAATACAACCTTCTTTGACATGAACAACACGACATTGATTATCACCCAAGTCCAACTTTCAGATAACGGGGATTATCAGTGTCAGGCTTTCAATTCTGTGAGCAACATGACCAGCAGCCCCTACACAGTTAACGTAAACTGTAAGTACTTTAATCTCTAACTCACTCTTTATTTGCAGATACACAAAGAATAGTAACATAACAAAATATAACCTCTTTAATTTATTGTCTGGTATTAAAAGATGGCCCAAAGAAACCAGTGATCACGGGGCAATCCATGGCTCTGACAGGAACACTGGAAACCCTCAACTGCTCAAGTGCCTCTCATCCTCCCAGCCGCATCAGCTGGTACTACAATGGTTCCCTGGTGGCTACCACCTCAAATTTAGTGATTGGACCTCTGACCTTAAATATGAGGGGGAAGTACATCTGCATGGCCTTCAACAACATCACCGGCAAAAACAGCACTGCCTACACGATGCTCACTGTTTTGGGTAAGAATAGTTTGACCTTTTGTGTAAATATGCTCATTCATTCCAAAACCACAACGTGTCATTTTTGCACTTTGGTTTTTGTACAGATTAAACAAATGAAATATCAGGGGTGAGTGAGCTTTAGATGTGATATTAGGAAAAGTTTCTTACCTTTGGATAGAGCAAAGCTAGCTGTTCCCCCTGTCCCCAGTCTTTATGCTAAGCTAAAAAGCTCTAGGCTAGAGCTTCATAACCAAAGGAAAGAGTGGTATCGATGTTCACATAGCAAAAATATTAAATTCTCAAAATTCCCAAATATTATTTCCCAAAATGTCAAACCAATTCCTTGATATTCATTAAGTCTACTTCAAAAATAAAAATCACAAAACAACCAGTATATCATACATATTATAGAGCCACCATCCTTTTCTTTCTGTCTTTCCAAAGCTCCAGTGACCATGGCGTCAGTAAAAATTGTCGGACCTCAGCCAATCCACAACCACACTTTCACTCTAACCTGCGCGACAGCTGGAGGTGTTGAGTCTATTACCTGGATGTATGGTTGGTACCCACTGAATGCTGACAATACAAGAAAGTTCTCAATGGACAACGCCACCCTGACCTTCGATCCTGTCATGAGCTCCGACAATGGGACCTATCGGTGTGTAGCTTCCAACCCACTCAGCAGTGTATCCAGTCAAATCTTCGCGCTGGAGGTTATTTGTGAGTACTCAACATGTGGTTTACCCTAACTCCCTATTATCCTTTGTCAGAGGAGGACTTTTTCAATCCGTCAAAAAGAAAGAGATGAATTCAACCAAAACCAAAGAAGAATTCCACCCCAAATACTTTAATACTGCAGTTTTAGTTCAGTTCTGGAAAATGTGGCCACATCTAGTAGATTTATCACAAAATACCATCCATCCACGGTTCTGCGTTGTATCAATGTCTTGACAGCCGTGTGACCTGCTTTCAATGAAGGTGATTAAAGGTAATACTTTTGTGTTTAGATGGACCAGAGATGCCAACTATCATGGGACCAAATGTCGCAAAGATAGGAGACAACGCTACATTCAGCTGCTACGCATCATCAAACCCTCATAGCTCCTACAAATGGTTCTTCAATAATTCTCTAGTGGCCAATACGTCAGATTATGTCACACCTCCTCTTACCAAAGACATGAGTGGGATGTACACCTGCATGGCCTTCAACAACATCACCGGCAAAAACAGCACTGCATACACGATGCTCACTGTTTTGTGTGAGACTTGGATTGCCATTTTTATGTTTCTGTAAAAATGTTTTTTGCCATGGACAAATAGGAAAGGTGGCACAGGCGAAAACCATTTAACTGTTGTGAATTTTATTTTATTTTTTCAGATCCACCAAAGTATGTACATATTGAAGCACCGATGAATCCTGCCATAGAGGGTTATTCTTATAAGCTAACATGCAATGCGTCTGGAACGGTTAAGCATGTTTACTGGATGAAATATGGTGAGCCACTGCGTGAAGACAACACGACTGTTTTCTCCTCGGCTAACAAGACAGTCACTTTCAACCCACTCAAACACAATGATACTGGACACTACCAGTGTGTGGCTATTAATGCTCTTTGGAACATGACCAGCCCTCCGTACATGCTTCTTGTGAACTGTGAGTAACATTTAAAAAGGATTTATTTCACTGTAACTGACAGTTTCATAAACTGTATAGTGCATCATCTGAAGTTATTTCAATACATATGTTACCAAGAGAGCCTGTCTACTCCTTTGCTGTTGCAGTCGGACCAAAAAACCCAATGATTCATGGGCCAGCTTTTGCTGAGACGGGACAATACGCGGTCTTCAACTGTTCTGCCATGTCGATGCCTCCCAGTCAGTTCAGCTGGTGGTTCAATGGCTCCAACGTGGCCAATTCTTCCGTGTTTACAACTGACGTTTTGACGCTAAATATGAGTGGAGAAATCACCTGCAAGGCCTACAATAATGTGACGGGAAAGAAGGTCACAAAATCCAAAATGCTCACAGTCATTGGTAAGAATATCGATGGGTTTGACTCCTTCAATGCATGTTGTGTCACTGTACAAGCGATCAAATACTGATGGATTTCCGCTGTGTGTTTTCTGTCCACAGAGGCAATAGGGTCAGTGATGATCACAAACAACACAGTTCCAATAAACACTGAAAACTTCACTCTCACCTGTGACGTCACTGGGCCCTATGACATGATCTACTGGATGAAGGACAACATGCACCTGAACATGATGCACTCCGTCGCAGACCCTCACATGTCCTACCACATTGAAAACAACTCGCTGCATTTCACTCCGGTGACCTTGCACAATGAGGGGATATATCAGTGTGTGGCTACCAATCAGGCTGGTCCACATAAAAGCCCCAAATATATGCTCCTGGTGAACTGTGAGTGTTATAGAAAAAGATAGGGATTTTTCTTCTTTTTTTTTTTCAGTAAATTCTAACAGGTTTTTAAGAAAATCTAACACATGTGGCATGAAAACTACGTAAACGTAAATCCCTGACGGTAGTGTAAAGGGAAAACCAAATGCAGCATTTTATGTAATTTGGTATATGATTAGGTGTGACACACAAACATCACCTCCTCAATAACTCCCACTGTCTTTACCAATGATATTAACTCACACATGAGCACCCTGTTGATCATGGGACTAAGTGGGTTTTACAAAAACAGATTGACGTTTACACTACATAAGCATATTTACTGAGCTTGTGATTGAAATTTAGCAAAATAATAAATATTTACTGTAAAAGTACAGTGGTTTCAGTTCGACCAAAGATACCTCAATGGGTTATTGAAATGCTGCTCAGAACATATGTGGCTTTAGACTTGTGAACTTGTCTCTGACCAACTCCTCCTCTCTGTGTGTTTGCAGATGGCCCTCTGAGTGTGACTATCTCTCTTCCATATTTAACAAAACATGATCTCTACGTGTCCCTGACATGCTCTGCGGATTCTCGGCCAGATTGTGACTTCCACTGGTTCTTAAACTATGAGTCATCAGCGGCTGTACATATGGGCTCTGTCATCACTTTCCTTGCGACTAATCAGGGAAACTACACATGTAAGGCGACGAACCCTGTGACCAATATCACGATGTACAAAACTAAAGCCTTTACTGTCACTGGTGAGTGAGCCTTTCTTCAAAAGTCATTTGATGATATTTGATTAGCTGACAAGCAAAATATGAATAATAATAATCCTCTTTGTTGTCCACAAATGTTGAAATTTGCCTTCAGCTTCAAAGTTTGATTAAAACACATGATAGTAAATCACAGTACATACAATAAATAGCATAATATGCACAGTACAGACAACTATAACAGACATTCTTCCAGTGTGATTGGCGTTTATTAATTCAGAAAAGTTATTGCATTTGGTGTGAAAGACTTTTTGAATACAACTAAATCCAATCATTTGATCAGCTTTAAAATGTTTTTGTTTATTTGCATTGTTTTAGAAAAAGCTGGCTTTATGAGGAATATTTGAAAAATAAAGATGTTTGCACTCAATTAAAACACTACCAGAATAAGTGCTATACAACTAAAGATATCTCATGTTGTTTTAAATGTAACATGTGATTGATTTGTCATCATTTCTGTCCTTTTGTCTCTCTTAGCTCACGCCTCCCCCCTCCGCTTCCCATCCCAAGGTGGTCTGCTTGTGATGGGTCTGTTTGCTTTGTCTGTCCCTGTGCTGTTCAGCTGAGTCCTCTGCACTGAGAAATGCAGTCGGATTGAAAGGCCTCTTGCTCTCACTGCAGTCTTAACAGTCTTATTGGAAAATGAAAACAATTTGACTGTATAATCAATAATCTGATGCCACTTTATCAGTTCTTTTGGGGTTTTGCTGAAAAGACAAAGAGGCAGACTTCAATTCATCTAATAGTTTGTTGTTAGATATATTTCCTTTTTATTTTCCTCTTATTGTATTGCCTGTTAAATGTTTTTATTATTAGTATAAATAGTTGCTATTCTTATTGTGATGGTTGTTGTTGTCACTACCCTTGAGGTAGTTTATTTCAAATATTTCGATACATTTGCATAGTTTAACAAGTGTATTACTCTAAAATACCTGCATACTCTTTTGGTACAAACTGCAATTCTTCAGTCTGAACACCAGCAGCTGTTTTGTTATGCGCAATAATATTAAGTATGGAAAATTAAGTAAATGTAAGTCTTATCATGCTTTAATTCATGGTATTTATTTCTTAATCAATAAATAATCAACAGAATGAATTTTGTGGGAACGTTTTTATTTTGTCTTTGTGCTGATTCAGAGAGTTCCATTCATGCAAACTTTCATGAGGGAAACATTGTCATATACGAAATATGTATGACAGTAAACATTGCATTACCATCGCTGTATACTATGTAATGATATGTGTGTACACGGTTCTTCGAGTGTTGTTCATATAGGGATACTGGTCCTGAACTTCTTCCTGCCCTTCGGATCTTTTCCCCTTCTTCTTTTGGAAAGCCAGCTGCACCTTTTCAGATTCTTGTTTTCTTTCCTCTGGCACAATGTTGTCACTGGTGGTTTGAATAAATCCAGACAGATGAAGCAACAGGATGAGAAAAAAAAACGAATTAAGTTCACCCTCCAAAATATTTAAAAATCTCACTTCTAAAGAGTATTTCAATTTATAATCACCTTTCAGTTTAAGCCAGGGGAATTTACTGATCTCACTTTTTACTTTATTTTATGAATTTCAAAAAATATAGATGTAACTTGCATTTTCCATGCTGGTCGTTGCGCCTGCCAGATTGCTGACAAACACAGCGATTATTCACAATCTCTCCTCCCTTTACTAGGTGACCCAAATACAAAAGGACAAAAGAGCAGAACGGGTTAGGATAACATGCTGATACTCAGGCTCTGGTTACATATAAACAGATGAGACGCTATAATAGGGGCTTTTTTGTTCACTTTACACCTTTGATAATGCTGCTTTCACCTTCACAGTTACACACTCTGGTGTGCTGTCTTCTGATGTTGACTGGATTTGCAGTGGTCAGTGGATCTCCAACAGCAAAGACTACAACACAATTGATATCAAACTTGATTTAAAAAAAAAGATTAAGGATAATAATTTCATTTAATTAAGTAATGCAAATGCAAAAACTAGAAAAATAATAAGCCACTCTTGTTGAAAATGTGTTTTAAACATTAATCTCACAAACCATCGGTGAAGTTGCTGACAACCAATGATTCTGCATGTGTCTCGGGAACACCTTTAAGAAATGAGGAAAACAAGTCACAAAATAAAACGCACAAGATGTTATTTTATACTTTTCTAACCCTGTACATTGTCTCATTCTGATAAAGTATACAATACCTTGGCTGTGATCAGTAAATACAAGCAGTACAAGAACCAACAGCAAAAACCTCCTTGAGCCCATGTTGTAGTTAAGCCAGTCCAGGTATAGAAATCTTGCATGTGCGCTACCTTCAGCCCCAGTGAGGGAATGAAATGGTTGTTGTTGTGGCTCTTTATAAAGGATGGTGTTGATGTCTGAAATTACAGCCGTGGCACATTCATCAACTGCCAGGTATATGAAGCATGAAGCCTGCCCAACCCGCACCTTTCACAGTGGGTGACTGTGAATAAGAGGAAACGTGTACCTTTGCCAAAAAAACTGATTGTGGTGGTGAGTAATTGCTCAGTGACATGAGAAATTAAAGTACCCACATGTTACTGACTTTCACTAAAAGGACATTTGGATGCCAGATGTGCCATGTTTTGAGTCTCAAGGGGAAGTTTTCTTACATTCTCTTGTTATGTGATCTTACTTTGAGTAGCTAGGTGTGTCAATGTTTTCTCACATTGAGACACAGCCGAGATCAAATTTCTGCCTCCAGTATGTATCTGTTACACTCAACACGAGGACACTGAGGTGTCAATATTGAATTTAAGCTCTAACTTGGTTGCTGTATTGTGAAATATAAAGTCCTGTCCAAAGTATTTCCTGCTATACAGGATTGGCCCACAATCAATCAAAATGATGTCAAAGTTGTCAGTTATCACATTTACCGTCATGCTTGCTATAATCTAGACAACTGCCAGAATTGTAAGTATAAGGTATTGTATTATGTGTAAAGACTGTTGGATGCCAGTTATGGGCAAAGCGAGACTTGTTCACCCTCCTAAAGTGACAGAAATGCAGCTCTCCGCTCACAAGCATGTCTGGGACCGAAACGAAAGCAGTCAACCAAAAGCAATAAATCTCTTGTGGACCTAATCTGTGTAGGTGTCCTCATGATGAACCTCCTTGTTCAGTTTTGAGGCATAAAAAATGTAGCACCGCATGAGTGACAATGCATCAATTTATCTTACTTAATATCAGCATGCATATCTGATCAATCAATCAAAGGGACACTAAAACACGTTTTCATATTTAATGCATTCTTCCATCTCTTACACAATCAGCCATCCTGAAGCATAATTCAAGTTCTGTAGCACAATCCTTCTATAGGAGGCTCAGAAGCATTTTAGTGTGAAGTAAAGCCTTTGGAAATGGTCTGATTGGCCATTACGTTGCAGATGAGATTAAACTTGAAGCACAAGCAACTTTAGATATATCTATACAACTTCACAAGCTACTCAAATACATTTATGTTTGCAACGCAGCCTCTCGCGTCAAAATCTGTTGCTGTTACAATACATGGAGCAAAAAAGGTACAAGGACAATAATGAGACATGTGACATGATAAAAGGCAAGTAAACAGTAATGGTCAATCAAAAAAAAACATTTGGTCATTCAAATTAACATATACAAAAGACACCAGACATCACAAGAGTAAATAAAGCCATTGCCAAATAAATGTAACTTAGTGAAACCAAAATGATGAATTACAGCAATGTTCTGGTAAGGGCAGTTCTTGTATCTCATTTTTTTTTTAACCAGACATATCCTAGCACCTAAAGAGCCAAAGTCTCACAACCTTTTCCAACTCATTCCTGTTCCAGTAGCCTCAGGCAGACAATGCATTTTGTCGTAAAAGTTTTTTTTTCCTCCTGAAAAGGCAGATCTCTGTCTGTATTCTGAGGTAAATTGGGCTTTTATAGTCTCTTGAGGGCTGTAGGCAAAAGGACGAGATCTGGGGCACAGTTATAAATAACGTTTTTAATCAAGTGCAGCAACTTAAGTTTTGACCTACAGACACTGTATAGCTGACATCCAGTGTCATTTCACTGTCTGGCTCTGACCCACATGGATGACAGACAGGGAGTTCCCCTCCCTTCATCAGCAGAGGACTGAAATAACCCTTCAAATGGAAAAACACGTTGAAAACCAAAAGCTAGTGGAACAGAGGATAAAGGGGAATTGAGGTAAGACTTTGTCTCTCTATACCATAGCACATTTAATTTTTTGACTGCATCATAAACACAAAAATAACCTTTATGGTCCCATTATCAGTAACAGTGGTCATCAACCCTGGCCATGAAGAGGACTTACACTAATAATTTGTGCAGCTCTTAGCCCCAAGTAACTGATTTGATCCATCATACAAGTGTTAATAAGCCGATTGTGATGTTCTCTGGGAACAGGGATGAGGACCACTGTGGTAGTGTGAATTTTTGTGCCCTTGTTGCTCAGTTCTCTGCAGGCTTGTCCAGCATGGACTTGAGATGGGCGTGCAGGGGTTCGCACACAGCCTGGTAGCCCTGAGGGGTCAGGTGAAGGTAATCGTACATGTCATGATGGGAGATGCTACCATTGGAGTGGACGAAGCCTGGGTCCACGTTGAGGAAAGAGGCGTGGGGGAGTGACAATACAGCCTCCTGGACCAGCTCGTTCACCTTGGCATTTCGCTCCCGCAGAGGATTTGGCGATTTACCTCTGGGCAATACACCCTGGAACACAGATGTATGGGTGTTATTGTTTGTATAGACACAGCATGTTGACATGTAGCTCCATTTCAGCTTTTTAAATGTTAACAAACAGCCCAATAGTCTATTGTTTACCTAATCCCACAAAGCTGAGATGGAACTAAAAGGGATGGCATCACTGTGCAGTCTGATGGTTGTATGAACTTCATTTGTCATTTTTAACGCCCACACAGGTGAGTAGATAAACACTTCCTTTAAGGAATGAATCAGAAAAAAAAGACCTACAAGTGCAAGTGTCCGGGCATGTGGGAGCTTGTTCTTGATGACTTGGACAATAGCCATGATGCCTTCACAGATCTGTTCAGCAGTCTGACCATGATTGTTAGTTCCTACCCACAGCACCACAACCTTTAACACAAAGGAGAAGGGAATGCATGACTGAGCACATGTCATGAATAGTTTAGGGTCAGTACACTTGGAATCTGGATTTTTATCATAAATATTAAGCACAATGAGTCTACTGTGGGAGTAATCAAGCACAATCGTGTTCTCTATATTTGGCAGTGATATGCACCTTTGGGCTGATGTTATCCAGCTCGCCGTTGCTCAGTCTCCACAGCACATGTTGTGTTGCATCACCGCCCACCCCAAAATTGAGGGCATGGAGGGGGGAGAACAGCTGCCGCCATATCTATAGACAAACCACAACAAAGCGTCCACGTGTTGAAAACCAAAATTCACACTATTTGAAAGCGTGCATAGATGATAGATGATGAGAACAAGACACACTATCAAAACTCTGTATACAGAACCAGACACAGTCAAGTGTGTGATTTATGCTTTACCCCAAACTGGTGCATGAGCTGAACAAGAGAGTCCCCAACAAACAGGACATCGGGTTCTTTGTCTTTGCTGTCAGACACGAAGCGGTTGTGCTACAAAAGGGAAAAAGGAAAAGACAAATATACAGACTTAGAAATCAACTACATGAGAAATTCAGACACAAAATCGCCTCTTGTACATGTTGTGATTTAGATATTGAAATTGGAAACATTAGCTTGAATACAAGAAAGTAGATTTCATCAGTGGATCTAATATCCCCATGCCAATCTAAAGAAAAACTATAAAAACCTTTTTTGTCAACTGTCAACAATGAACATTAAAGACAATGCAGACTGGGAAAACCTGGCTGTTATTCTGTAGCTATGTAAAACCCAGAGTAACAGAAAACCCAAGAGAAATATTGTTTCACACACCAGAGACATCCATCGTCCATCTCCCTGGGTGTCTACACAGGGAGTGGGTGTGGCGGCTGGGTTCGGGTCTTCAGCACTCATGACTTGGCTCTATCTGTGTTGGGAAAGCAATCACGGAGGGTTGTTGGCACTGTTTTACAAGGGAAACAAACCGTAATCCACAGATATAGCTGTAACTGCTAGCTAAATGTAAGGAGGTTGGTAGAATTAGCCTCAGTAGCTAGCCTACATGCTGAAACACAAGATAGATGTATAGCTAGTTTAACAGAGATACCGGACACACAAGGAACGCAGATTGTTATTAACGTTAAATTATGTGAAAGGGGAAAGAACGAGCTGTGTATAGCGGCTACATTTAGAGATATTAATGAACATAGGTTACCATGAAATCAAAAAATCGTCATCTCCCAATTCAGTTTCAGGAAGTACATTTTCACTATAGTTGGCAATACCATTGTTGTCCATGGGCAATAACATGTATGTTTACGTGTATTTTAGAATTGTGCGATACTTAATTAGTAATATATGCTTAACGTCGGATTACAGAACATACCTTATAAAGAAATGACAAATCAAACATTGTTCAAGTGAAGGAGAATATAAAAGATGAGACGGTTTTACCTACTCGTCTATGAACGTGGACTCGCCCAGCTCGTTAGTGTTCGCGGGAGTTGCTGCTGCGCAAAGAAACGCATCTACTACGACATGTTGCTGAGCAACGACAGATTTACAAGTGGAAAAGAACGAGTCTCGGTAAGTAGCGCTGTTAATTAACGATTTTAGGTTTGTGTAAAAAAATGTTTCTTGACAGATGTACTGTTTGTCTCGCATGACATGTACTTAAAGTTAAGGTTAGTGCTGTGTTTCTTATCAGCTTAAGTCATACACCTGTGCTGCACTTAAAAGAGCACCTGGTGATTGACGTTATTATCACCTGTTCACTAACCACATAACGAGCTAGTAAAGCTAACAGCTAGGCTACATTAACTGACTTGTTCTTGATATCTGACTAAGTGAGAAGAATAGACAAGATGCAAATGTTTTGTTGGCCTTTAGTCAAAATGTGCAATATTTATTTAGTGGATATCTTTTTTTTTTTTTTTTGTGACAGTATGAATATTTAATTTGATACGGTACACATGTAATATATGTGTTGGAATTAGTGGCTTTCACTATTTACATCCATTGCAACTTAAAGACAGTTCCCCTGGTTATTTATTTAAAGTTTCCATCCATGAAAGACTTTTGGGAGCCAATTTGAATATTTCGTGGAGCCACTCTGATATCAGCTCTGTCCATCATGGGAAGTCAATTACTTATGTGCTCAGTGGAGAGGGGACAGATCAGCCCAGACCTAGACCAAGGCCCAATCCCAATGTCCTCCCTAAAGCCTCAAACCCTGAACCCTCAAGGGCTTACTGACGTCACCTGGTAAGTGGTTGAGTGTGAGAGACTGTGAGGGCTTGAAATGGTGTAAATAGGAATGGGACGGCACTTTGCTGCAACATGTCACGTTACCAGGAAAATGACAAAAAATATGATGTACAACTGTGGGTATTTATTTTATACTTTGTACTCCCTGATTTGATCATCTTCCAGGCTCTTTCCTCACAAGATGAGAAGTAATTTCATCAAATCTATTTACTCGTTTTTGTCAAAACAGCTTCAATGACGAAATTAAATATTTGATGAATAAATGTATAAATATCCTCTTATTTCAAGTTTATTTTTGTTCCATCTTTAACCCTTAATGTTTCTGTGTAAATGTAATACTCCAGGCTGAACACATGTGAGCCGTCCTCTTTGTTTACCTTTTTTTTTTAGTTTCTATGCGTCCACTGGTTACCCCGTGTTTAACGTCACATTGCAATGATTTGTGGGTAATTCCCTCAGCATCCAAATGTCATGGTCCACACAAGGCTCAACATTTTTATTCAACCACTGTCGATGAAAAAGTTGCCCAGCTGTTTTGTTCTCTATTTCTTACAGGCTTAAACATTTCAGAATCCGGTGCAGCATGAGCCACGGGTGTGGCAGGGCTGTATCCGACAAAGAAAAGATCCTAAATGTTTTCAACAAATGACAGAATGAAACGACTGAGAAGCCGCAAGGAGAGGAGTCAGATGAGAGCTGGCGGAAAAGAAGCCTCCAAGTCCAAAGCACATCACCATCATCACTGTCGTCGCCAAAGGAGTGAAGACATGGCGTATTTCCAGAACTGCTGTCATAGTAGCTGTCATTGTGCTTCAGGGAGAAATGCACCGTTTCCAAACGTCATTCCTGCGGCACAAGAGCCGAGTATAATCACGGACAGTCGCCTGATAGGACACCATGGCCTGTTCAACCACGAGGTGAAGTCTATCGACATAGAGCGCTTGTTAGGTGAGCAGAGGAAACTGGGGAAAAGTGGACGGCAAGGACAAGAAAAGAACAATTCTACTTCACATCCATCTTCAACATCTCACGTTCCTTCTCCGTTCGTCGCTCATGATTTATTGGGTGCTGATACTGATGAGGTTCTGCCATTTAAAGAAAAAACAGCCCATGATGATTGCCGGAAGAAAGAGGAGAAAATCAGTCAGGGATCAGATCTTACACCGGGGCAGAGGCCGCAGAAGAAGCTCGATGTTGCATCTGAAAGTTTTAAAAGCGTCTCCTCATCTAAACACAGCTCATTGGATGTAGTGATAATCAAGAGCAAGAAGACAAACCCTCTCATGTCTGAAAAGAGCAAAGAGTCCCAGCTGACTCCCACTGTTGTCAAAGAAAGTGTGAAGACATTAAACAGGAAGGCAAAGGGACACATGAATTCTACTGTGGAGCACACCCCAAAGAACCAGGAGTCTCCGGTCCACCAAACACCAGCTCATGGTCTCAGCCCAAGCCCAGTTCAGCTCTCCAGCTCAGACACTGTCGACAGCTTTGACATCCAGCGCCGGAGACGAGACGCTCGCTGCACTTCTAAGTCCGTTAGTGCAGTGGCAGCAGGTTTGTGTGACTGTCTGCAGTTCCCACTTCTGAGGAGAAGAAACCTGGTGGCAGAGAGCAGGGAGGTGCTGTTGAAAGCTCTACGGGAGAGGCACGGACCCCGGCTTCAGGCGAACCTCCTTGAGGTGCAGCGAGGCCTCAGCTATGGTGTCGATCCAACAAGGAAAGTCCAGGATCAGGAGCCGACTATGATGGATGAGCTGTTGCCTCCAGGTAGGCACTGACTAGACAACTCTGATTCTCATTATAAACATAAAAAAACAGTGATTTGTTAAACATTAGGGTTGTTTTAAAGTGATAACTCAATATCACTGTATGTTTTATCATAATTGAGATATGGTAATTAAGTTCTCATAGTAATAACACATTTTACCAACATTATTGATGTTAAAAATGTAAACTTTTTACTGTGTTTTTGACTTCTTTAGTATTGGTATTAATAACAACTTTACCTCAATATTGATAACACTGTTTATTACCTTAAAATAAGTTATGTTTACATTCAGTGTTATTCACATTGAGTGTATCTTTAAGGCCTGACAAATGCATTTTTTTCTGTGTAAAACATTTGCAAAGCAGATTTTAAACAGTTCATCGTTTCCATCTGTGTTCACTAGCTTTCAGTCTTCTTCTTCTTCTTCTTCTTCTTTGCCTTTGTTGGAGCTTTACAAACCCAATAACATAAATGTATCACTGTCAATCATTCACAATAGCAGGAGTGTATTACATGTTCTGCATGCTCTACAGTTTTTCAGCTGTCTCCTTTTTTTTTTGTTTTGTTGCAATAGCATTTCAAGCTGACACTGCGAGTCAGCCGTGTTATGACAGCCAGAAAACCACATCTTTCAAAATGATGGGAAGTAGACCTTTTAACCAGAAGTCCAGGCCACAGCCACGCCAAAACCTGGAGCAGGTAAGATCTTAGTTTATGGTCCAGCTGTTACCCTTCCATTAGTAATCCACAGATAATTTATTTCATAACTCTGGATATAAAATGTTTTCTGGTTTTCATGTAAAGACTGCTGCTTGGTTCACAAGCCCGGTGGAAACCTCTGTCAGCCTGTTGGATGATATCCTCAGTCCTTTCACTGCTCAGTTCTGCATGGAGTTTGATCCCTCTGGATGTACAACCAGTGATCATTTGTTCTCTCCCACCTCCTGCTGGGAAGAAAAGGCCTCAGTATCTCAGCACTGGGAAGACGGCTTCAACAAGCCAAAGAACAACAAGGCCGTTATGTTTGATCCCTTTGAAAACAGCTTTTTGAACCACACCAGAGCAGTTCCAGAGAGGAGCAGTAGGTCTCAATACAGCAGCAGCAACATCCCGCCTTTCTTTCCTTCTCAAACACAGCTGCCAGAGAGACGTTCAGCAGAGCCTATGCACTTCCCCCATGAGAAAGACCCATTTGAAACTGACAGATACTCTTTTGCTCCCTCCTTCTCTGCTCAAATTCACCATCCTCTGCAGAGCTTGCAACCTTTGAGCCAGTTCAGTCATCCCTCAACTCACCCGCCCCTCAGGTCCCACCACACTGACATGACCCATTACCCACCATCTCACGCCCTCGATAGAGACCCGGCAGCCCTCCTTTCTTCTTTCCCGAGCCCTGAACACTGGTCCTTCCCTCCTATGAGACTGTACTAATGTGTTGTGAAGCGCTGCATAGAAACATGCTTGTGAACATTAATTAATTAAAAAATACAATGCTGTCTTAATTCATACAGCAAGATTTTTTTTTTTTGTTCACAGTCAGCGAAATGATATGTTGTGTGCTCATATTTGACTAAAAACACAATATTAAATGTAACAATAATAGCTGGAATCTCAAGAGTTACCTCTTTTTCTTTTGTCCTAAGTGCAGCGGAGATATAGAAACCCATGAGTATGTATTGTTTGCATCATTGGAATATTTTTTAATATACACAACTGTACACATTCTTCTATTCTTCTTTAACACAAGCGTTATAATGGGAATGTCTTTACAGACCAATAATTTTAACCAAGAATGTTCTATTGTGAAGCTATTTGATATTGTGTTGTGTATGTGGGCCACATTTAAATGCAATTAAACACATTTGTACAATTTGTGCAATAATATGAAAGACGTGAAAAATCAAACTGAGCATAAGATTTTTAAAGAACATTTCTGATTCATGCTTGTATAAATTATTATTGGTCTCACAGTTCATCACAATTACACCACATTAAATGACCCTCTCCCAGCAGCAGAACATGCGATTATTCATTTAACGTACCGACAGTTTTATCTTGACAATCACAAATGAAATTGCCAAATCTTTTTAAGGTAGCAAGTAACCGTTTTCATCCGATGTGTGAGTCTCAAAGTTTCCGGTTTCTTCTTCTGTCTCTAGTCTGCTCCCGCTTCTCATTGCCCGACGTAGCTGATTCCAGAACAGCTCTTGGGCCTGTGTGGGGTTAGTGCAGTCTGAGCCAGGCCACTGCAGATACGTCTTTTTTAACATGACTTTCCTCATGCGGTGATAGGACGACACCTGCCTCTGAGAGATTTCCTCCAGAAACACGAGCAGGAGAACGTCCCGGTGCTCATCAAAGAGTCGGTAGCTGGCCAGTTGGATTTCCAGAGAGCACCACTCACTTCTTAGGAAGTTCCTGCTCACCACACAAATAGTCTTCCGGCTGCTATACACAGCAGAGACGATGTTGTCCACAATGTCACGGCCCAGCTCAAAGTCCCTGTGATGTAGGCACAGTTTAAAAGACGATCCATTTCCCTCCAGGTTGGGCATTAACTGCTCCATGACCCATTGTTCATCGGAGGAATTGTAGGAAATGAATGCATCATATTTGCAATTCTCGTCCTTTTCACTAAGTATGCGCCACTGCTCACTAAACCAGGAACGGAACACATAGTAGCCGTACTTCATTTTCCAGTAGAGTTTGACATAAAGTAAAGGAGTTACTGTGAACAGAAAGATCACAACTGCTGTGCTTAAGAATAGGTACTCTTCGAGATCTATGTAACAAACTTTGGTGTCAAAATTGTAGAATTTGAGTTTTGCATCGTTTGGGCACTGCAGATTGTAGAGATAGACCACCTGGACATGTGGGTTTTTTACTGTCCAGTTTTGCAGTATGTTGTTCTCGCAGGTGCAGCTTAAAGGAGTATTACGTATGTCAAGGTAGTGGAGGTTTGGTAAACTTTGTAGTGCATCAACAGGAATGCTCTGCATAACATTACGGTTGAGCTGCAGTGTGTGTAACTTTGTGAGATTCCCAAAAACCTCCTTTGAGAAGTTCTGAATGCCCATATTTTCTACAATCAATTTGGTCAGATTTCTCAGATTTTTAAAGATTCCTGGTTGTAGGTTTGTCACCCCAACACAGCAGTTATCCAATGTGATGAAGTGTAAGCCTATCAGATCATCGAAGGCATCAGGTGCGAGATGATAGATGTTATTGTTGGTGAGGTACAGAGATTTCAGTGAGTGGAGGCCACGGAGAAAAGTGCCAGGTAAAACAGTGAGGCCAAACGGCCGCTGACCATCCAGCTTCAGATCACTGAGTCTGCTGAGGTTTATGAAGGGTGAAATGATCTCGTCATTGAGGAAGCGAATCTGATTACTTTGTAAATCCAGCACTGTTAGTGTGTCTTGAAATACACGATGAAGGGAACTGTCGATCTGTTTCAGGTTGTTTCCATCTAGATAGAATTTGGACAGACTTTTTAGTCCATCAAGGCCAGATGGCTGAAAATAAGTGATCTTATTACCTCCGAGGTCCAGTGTAGTCAGATTGCTCAGACTGCGAAAGGTCCCATTAAAAATGACAGCTATGCGATTGTTGCGTAGGTTAAGGATTTTTAGGTTGTGATTATCGTTAAAGGTGGAACTGAACAAATCCGTTAAAAGGTTATTGTCCAAACGTAGTGTCTCAAGCCTTGTTAGCCCTTTGAGAGCATTAATATCAAGATAAGCAATCGTGTTTATGTTAAGCTTCAGCGTCGTGACGTTTGGTGCATAATTGAAAGCACAAGCACCGACTGAGAGGATGCGGTTGTACCGATAGCTCAGCTCCTCCAGATTATTCAAAAGTACTGTGTTTTGTGTTTTACAGGATTGGAGGGAGGTGAGATGGTTATGCTCTACATTGATACTCTTTATATATTCCTGTTTATTGAGGAACTCCAGACAACCTGTGCTTTTCAGGTTGTTGCGGGATAGATCCAAAGTCCCTGTGATGTTAGGACAATAGTGCAGTGTGTAATTTGTTAGATTCTCAATCCCATTAACACCCAGGCCTAAATTTGTAATCCTTTTCACTTTTATACTTAACAATCTGCATAGCTCCATGAGCAGGGTGTCATTGTTTAGACCTGTGCCAGAGAAATCCACGTGACCTGCATTGACATTGCTGATGTTTAAGAGCTCCACTACCTTCACACTTGTTGAACGCAAACGCAGATAGTTTATATGCTTCAGATCGAGTCCTTGAAAAGCAATCGATTGGAGCCTGGGATTGTATGACAAATCCAGCAGGTGGATGAACCCGAGAAACGAATCCTTACACCCTAATTTAAGCAGATTATTTCTACATATGTATAATGTAGTGAGGGATTTTGGTAGTGAAACATTTGAATGGCTGAGAGAGGTCAAGTTGTTAAAGCAAAGATCTAGTACGCTCAGATTTCTTAGATGTGACACAGACTCGGCAATCCCTAAAAAACTTGACAGAAAGTTTTGTCTCATGATTAAAGTGGTCAGATTGAGAAGAGGGGAGAAAATCCCCTCGGGGAGCCGCTTCAAAGAGTTGTTTGTCAGTGAGAGAAAGGTGAGGCTGCGTAGGTCCTTAAACACAGAAGGGTTGAGCTCCGATATGTTGTTACAGGACAAATTGAGAGATTTAAGTTGATGCAAGTCTTGAAAAGCAAATTCATCGATGCGCCTCAAGTGATTTTGATCTATTCTGAGGTCTTGAAGGTTTGGTAGACGAACAAAGCTCCTGTTGGGAATGTGCCAAATAGGATTAATGGAGATGGTGAGATTGATGGCAGATGGCGGCAGGTCCTTGATAATAGCAGGCATGTTCTTTTCCTTGCGACGGATGCAGTTGAAACTTTGTTGATTTGAGTATGGGTCTTCAATGCAGTTCTTGAAGCTGTAACCGCTGATGAGTTGAACAGCGCCAAGGACGACTGTCACTGACAACAGCTGATAAGTTACACTTGCCATGTTGTCTTGTTTCAGATCAGAGAGATAGTCCTTCTGAATTACTTAGTCCTTCTGAATCAGTTCCTTTGTTGGTTGGTTTGAGTATGATGTGGCAAATGTCTGTGAAGGCCTCTTGTTAATCAACTGAACAGGTGCAGGAATCTGAGGAAAGAGAGCAGAATTTATATCACTCGTCATGTTCGGTCACTTGCACTTTCAAACCACGTTTCTTTCTAAGCAGACCAATCTTAATACAGAGCTGCTACCGCAATCCTTAGATTTAAATCACCATTCATACTGTACATGTTGTAAAATTCACATTGGTAAGACTTGTTTACCAGCAATATTAGAACTATGAGATAACAAATGTCCTTTTAGGATGCTTAACAATGCTTGATTGTGATTGGTCCATATGCAGATAGAGATTTTCGGTGCAATCTCAGTGGGTGTGTCTTCTTGCAATACAGCCAACCGGTGTGTCACTGGTATGTTAAATATGTTCTTTGAGCATTGTCTGGAGTAATATACCCATATTGTTCAAAACAAGAGGGAGTTTCTCAAAGTCAAGGATGCTTCAGGATTTGCGTGTTCATATTTGACTATTTAGAATAATTCAGTACGTTTCAATTTCTAGTAGGAGTATTGATTTTGTCTTTCTCAGAACAATGTACACAGATTCAAAACATGTAGGCAATTGTTATGATTTATGAACTTAGAAAACATACAATTAATATGCTCTCCTTAAAGCTGCCAGATTCCATTTAAAAAAAACACCGCAATTTTACCTCGGCGAATGTTAAACACACTTCATTAAAACTTTATAATGAAAACTCATTACATCTGTCTTGGTTGGCCTAGTCTTTCCACTTCCAACAAGAATCAACTCTGGTTTGGTCAAAATAATGTCTTTATTCACAGAGCTAGATGTGAAAATATGATTGCTTTACCCCTGTTGTCGCTCTCTGCTATTAATAGCTCGCTCAACACTCTGTCGCTGAACGAGTTTATCTCTGAACTAGCTTTTCGTTGCGCAACGAAAGTTGAAACACTTTTAAATGAAGCCTTGACTTCACTGATATAGATTCTAATATGAGTGAAGATTCAACAACTGGATTTCAATTTCTTGTCTAACATTTGTTCAGAAACAGATTTTGGTGGACTGCTAAGATGAAATGACTGAAAAGTTTACCAGCATGTTTCCCCTGTTTAAAAATTGGTTGACAGGAAATGCATGGTGTGCATAGGATTATGGTTGTTTTACACTCATACATCCTTCAAAATCCTCTGAACGAAGGACTCGGACCTAATGCACTGGGGCATCCTCATCGGCTATGCATCTAAATTACTAACAGACAGTAAAGTCAAATAAGCCAGAGCAACAGCCTCAGAGAAGGCATGGACACGGGTACATACAGTATATAGCAGCTTAGCTCTCAGTGACACTAATGCCTACCATACACTAGAGGACATTGAAAAGACTGACACCCTTTCATATCTAAAGACAATGTGTCATAAGTCACTGAGTTTTTAGTCAAAGTCTATAAGATTTTCCAAAGACTGGGGATCTTGAAGGGTCAGTATTTGCTACTGACCCTAGATTTCTTTCAGAGATCATTTCCCACGGGCTTCCGATGGAAATTTACAAAAAGAAAACTGCTGACAAAAGAAGTGCTCGTTAACGTCATTGAATTTCCCTATTTGCCAACATACACCAGAGCAGAGACTGAAAGGGAAATGCTACTGAGGAAGACAATCGAGGAAGGGTCTCCTGAGGAGGGAAGACCGTGCCCTCAGAGCCAAGCAGAATACTGGAACCATTAAGATGAACTTTCACAGACCATATTCAAGGGGGAGAAAATCATCATCCCTACCTCACTGCAAGCAGGTCACATAGAATGGTGCAAACAGAGGGTCTGTGACATCCTTTTTTAGCCCTAGCTGATTGAGGAGATGGTTGGAAAAGTGTTTGCCTCATCTGTTTGCGAAGACCGACCTTTCAACACGAAGGAGCCTATGATAGTCCACAAGATCCTAGACAGTCCATGCCAAACAGTCGCGACTGATCTGCGCACATGGAAGATTGAGAACTATAAAGTCGCAGTAGACTATTAGCAGGTTTTTCAAGTTTGACAAGCTATACAGCACCAAAGCCTCTGTTGTGATACACAGTTTGAAAGCAGCTTTCTCCATACACGGCACACCTCAGACCTCAGAATGTTTGGCTCAATCCTACCCAGCAGCTTCAGCCCACAGTCCGATCACCAGGAAATAATTTTGGCATTGAATGTTTCTGCAAACCACGGATATTACGTTGAATGGGAATGTTTTTTCTTTCTTTTACATGGATTTTTTTTGCATTTGGGCAGCGCACTTGACGTATTACAGCGAGTGTCGTGCAGAGCAAGTGACGTAGTATATCGAGCGGCCATTATTGAAAGTTACGTGGCATAGCAATGAGTATAAAGAGCGAGAAAGTACATTTAAAAAGTGGGTTAAAGGTTTCACCAGGTTCCTGTAATAGTCTCTTGTCACAGAACCCAATAATGCCCACCTGAGGCATTGTTGTATTGCCGAGAAATCCGAACTTTGTACAAGGACAACTGGGTTCCCCTTTTAAGATGTTTTCATATCCCTTTTTCCTCTGTGGTTGTGTTCCTCGTGCACCTCCTGACATTTCTTCTACTTTGTTATAGAACAGATCTGATACTGGACATTGTTGGCTAAATGTCAAAAATAATTTGGCCTGAAGAATACTTTTTAAAGTAATAGACGACAGACAACTAAATTATTACGACGTTTTGTCAATCGTTGTATGAGTAACAGCAGCATTAGTCAATAATCCTCGTACATTTTATGTTATAAACATCCTCCCATTATGTGTCCTACATTTATACGTACATTTACATACACTTTAAAGAAGGTATTTTTAGTCTTAAACATCTGTTGTCCCAGAAACATCCCCTGAAAATAACAGTGATAGTCACCCTCTTATAATCTCACACACAAACTGTTACAATCTTTCACACTGTTAAGAAAAATACTTGCCAGTTGTTGCCAACTATGTTACTAGATTTGAAGTTAAAATGAATATCATTATTTTGCCTTGACAGCCTCACCTGTTCAAGTGAATGTTGTTCACCTTGCCTCTTCTGAGAGCTGCTTGCACTGCACCCTGGGCATCTTGGATACACACTAAATCAGAAAGAGGAACATGGATGCTACCCATGCTTTCCCTTTCAGTCACAACATCGTAATCCCAAGAGTTTTTTTTATTGAAATTCTGTATACTGAATGAATATACATTTAGCAGACGCTTTTATCCAAAGCAACTTACAATTCAGTTCTATCACACCGTAGGCACAGCTACGGGAGCAATTTAGGGTTAAGTGTCTTGCTCATGGACACATCGACATGCGACTAGTCGGAGCCGGGGATCGAACCGCCGATCCTCTGATTGAAGGATTGAAGCTCTCCACTTAGCCACCGTCGGCACGTGTTAGTTTGTTTCTGCTTGCTTCCACACACACGTATTAACACTTACATTAACACTTGAATTTGCCACAGTCTTCACAGCAGTCGCACACATTTGAACTCCAATCTGATGATCCGGACGTCACAGTGTCCTGTGTGACGGAGACCTGAGGCTGCGAGCTGATCACATTTGACTGGAACGCCATTGCTGTGAGTCGAAGCGAAGGAATATTGAAATCTAAAAACAGATATACTAAGTCACGGAACTATTAAAAATTAAAGATACCAGTTCACTTCATATCTGGTAACATTTTCTAGCCCTATTTGCAGCAATGTTTCCCCCAAACAAATACCCTGCCCAGTCCTGTGCCGTCAAAGCTTCTGCAGGTTTTCATTCCAACCAGAGACAATTTAAGCTTATTTCATTAATAGTACCAAAGAGGGCGGCATTAAATAAGCAAAATCAGTTCAGTGCAGTTAATTTGAATGAAAACCAAAAGACTTTTCCATGAAGAAGGATTGGACACTCTCGGTTTGGAGGAAACATTGCTCCATATCTCACCTGGTCTCTCCTCCTGAGGTTCATGTATGGCCCCTGAAACGGTGGTCTTGCGGTGTAGACGGTCCGGGGCTTAATCCATAAACAGGAGGGCAAAGGCTCAACTCTTATACCCAGTCTGACATCACTCTTGCCCCAGAGCCCAGTTTCAGTGCTGATATGACATGGCAAACAATGGCCATTTGGGCATGTGCAGTCATGTTGTAAAGACAAAACCCAGGTGTTTAGTTCTGGGGCATATCACCTTTCAAAAGGGTGCACTGTACATGACGTGGTTTTTATCAGCACTCAGTAATTGAAGAACAAAGTGGGCATATAGTGCATATTTGTATTTCAGCAACTTATAAACCAGGTTTTACCTTTATGGCAGGCGTGGTGTGTACACACACTGTGGGTCCAATTCTAGTAATGGGAAAATAATAGTAGAAAATGAGCTGGGACCCTCAAGCAGAGTTGAAATGGGCTTTGTACTCTTGTACGACGATACATCTTTTGACATTGGTACACATTGAATTTGTATAGTATGTCCAGATGTACACATGGCTCTGCAGAGAACACTGGTTAACAACACAAAAGGCTCCTTAACTAGTTAAAATACAACTATTCATTTTAATCTGTTGTCCTAAGGATCCACTTTGGATCCCCTTTAGCTGTTGACCCAGTAATAACTATAACAGTCTCAATTGAGTTAATGTAAAACAATAACAACATTAAAGTGATTCAATACAAATCCCACAACATAACTTGAGTTGACTCAAAACAAAATGCAAAGTAACCAGAGACAATACAACATATGTTACGTTTTCAAGATTCAGGTTGTCAAAATATTTAAATAATACAGTTGCAAATGTACACAAAACAAATCCAACAAATCAATATCTAACACAAATAATGAAATCAAAATAAACAGATACACACAATTAAATGAATTAATTAAAATTTAACAAACTTCAAATAGTATGAAACACAAACAAGATGTAATGCAAAAACAATGAGCATATAGTATGATTAAAACATTAAAAGTTTACTCATTTCCATATTGGCCTGCCCAAGATCAACGAAGTCCCAGTGATACATTACAGAATTGAATGAAAAGAACCACTATGCTATAGTAGTATACCGATGCTGGTCATTAGTACACTCAAACAACTGTATACATTCTTCTAAACATTTAGAAACATGTGTTGCTGCTAAACACTGGAGACACATGGTCCTATTTCACAGCTTAAAAAACATTCTTTAAATTGTTTTATCACCTTGATACTTCATGATTTTTCCTACTTTCATAAGAATATCTTATAAAGATCATTTTAATCTGACAACTTAATTCACAAGTAGCACTGCTGTAAAACCTGGTCAGATACAATGGATTTTCTTATGCTCTATATCTGTGATTGGTGCTGACAGTACTTTTTACACAGCGCTGCCATCCCAAACCCCAAATACGTTTGGATTACTGATATTGGAGTTTTAGAAACAGTTTATTCATAATAACTGACCCCAAACATAATTTATGTCAGCATGTGGGATAGCATACATTTTTGTCGGTAAACTTTTTTTCAAACAAAATGCATATTCCGTATAACATAATGACCTTTTTTCTTTATATGGTGTAGCAACAACGCTTTATGGTAGCTCTATATTTTGTTACCTTTCAATTTGCAATCCCAGTTTGTGGAAAAGGGAGGAGTTTCAATACTTTTTCACAAACGTTTTTCTCATGAAACACTGCAGTCTGTGAGACTCCAAACAATGAGGAAGTAAAACCAATGTCCACACATATTAACCCTGTACGCAATATTCAAACACTTGTTGTATGGCTTGTTTTTTTTGTGTTATATACAATGTAAGTGGGCTCAATGATGTGTGAAGAGACCGTGATAATAGAATATGACATGCACAATCATTACTTGATTGTATCATGGTTCTTTCCTAAATGTGAGATACAAGAAAATGTATGCTTTTTCTTTTACACTGTTTAATATGTATCTTGATCATCTTGGTACTTAATTAGTAATACTATTTTTAGAAATACAGAAAAAAAAATCCAGTCCACTTACACTCCTCCATGTGCTCACCAGATTACATAGTGTAAATATAACGAACTTTAACATTATACTTCTGTGGTGTGTATTACTCTGTTTATCACACAAACAAATCAACAGAAGGAAGCAAAACACCAGTGATGTTGCACAATAATTTAATTTACCAGAAGACCCTTAGTCGAGACAGAAGCAACCGCAAGAGTGTTCAGTTCCTCACATGTTTCTGAAAAGAAATCATAAAGTAAGTCCTGAAAGGGGACTTTACTCATTCTGTCCATCCTGTCTGTCTCTGGTCTAGTTTGTGGAAGTTATGCAAAAAAAACAAAGGGCTCTGTGACACATCGCCACATTTTCTCTCTCAATCAGCATTTGAGTGGTCCTGAGCTGAGTCTGCATGTGTTAAAAAAAACTTCACCTAAACTTTATTTCATGGAAAATGTAGTTGTAATGTGGACAGACAATACCAGTAGTTTCAGTGGAGGTGTTTGCTCACATCAGGCATCTAGCAGGAAGGTGTCAGAATGCTATCACATGATAGTTTTTGCTAACTTGTTGCTTTACAGAGCATGACAGAGATTTAAATGTATTTCTTTTTAGTGCGTAGTGCATTCTTGCAGATACCATTTTGTTATCAGTTTGTCCAAAGCATCTCTAATGAGCATGTTCATGTTTTTCTCTAAGAGTCTGTTATTCTTCACCACTTAGATGATCAAATTACTTGATTTCCGGTTGTGTTCTTTTTGATTGTATCTAAACATATATAGTATCCAGGATGTCCTCCATCAGCCCCTTTGTTTGCATCCTGTCTTCTTAACAAGACATCAGAGGGGTAAGTAACTCATTTGCTTTGCAAAGGTGCTGGAGTTAAAAATCACGAAAATCGAAATCAGAAACTAGCTTTCAGTACATTTTTTTTCTTCCAAAATGTATCCTTTTGACATTTTCATGGATTTGTAAAATTCGTGACAATCACAGAATACTAAGTCTTTACCAAGTTGTTAGAAACATTCTGTAATGCTTAATACCTCAAAGCAAGCAGAATAAAAAGAACACAATAGAGATTCCTGTCAACTAAGCACTTTCACTTCTCCATTTGTGAAGGTTTGTTTTGTAAAACCAGTTTCTACGTCCTTTGGGTTAAATTACCCTGAAACTGTGTTTACTAGTAAGAATTGTGTACATAAAAAGAACATAAATTGGATCTGCAGTATAGACTAAGTACAAAATAGAATATTTTTCCATATCGAGTACATCAGTCACAATTTCCCTTAGGCACTTTTCTATTCCTATCACAGCTATGTTTGCATCTGTCTTATATGTGTGAGGACACAGTTCCTGAAATTACGACTTCTTCTTTCTGATCCTCTCTCATTTGAATACCCTGTTGTGATTGTTTGCTCTCTTGACTGTTGGAGGGTTTCAGGTGTTCTGCTGCCTCCTTGTATACCACAATAATGGATCATATTCATCCAACCACAGAAGATTACTGGGTGAGTGGATCATTTTCAAATCTGTGCATCATCGGTCATCAGGGGACGAACTGAGTCTCTGTTTGCACCTTAGATTCTATAACATGAGCAGAGAGAGAACATATTCGTAGAGAACATATTCTTACAACAGATATTTTTAGATGGGTTAGTCAAATGTTGTACAGTATCTTCCACAAACATTAGCTATCTTTAAAGTTCCTTATTGAGAAAATATTTTATTTTGACATTTTTAGAATCTTATTATGACCTTTGTGTCAAAAACTGCCATCACTGAGGCTCAAGTAAATTAAAAGAAAATATACAATGATGGGTTTCTGCATTATACAGTTTGTGAAATGCTGAGAAGCACACTTTTATAATCCATCTGTTTCAAAAAATTGAGTTAAGTCTTTTCATCTCTTGTCAACAGGACTATGACTACAATTACACCTATTCCCCTGACGAAAGCAGGTCGCAGGCCGTCCCATGCTTACAGGAGGACAGCTACGGGTTTGCACAGAGGTACTCCCCTGTTGTATACACTCTGGTGTTCGTCCTGGCTTTTGTGGGCAACGTGCTGGTGCTTTGTGTGATCCGACGCTACAGAAACTCTCAGAGAAGTGGAGCCTGCGCCTTCTCTCTGACAGACACCTTCCTCCTTCACCTGGCCATTTCTGACCTCCTGCTGGCCTTCACCCTGCCCCTGTTTGCAGTGCAGTGGGCTCACCAGTGGGTGTTCGGCTTGGCTGCGTGCAAGATCTCCGGTGCCCTCTTCTCCTTGAACCGCTACAGCGGCATCCTTTTCCTGGCCTGCATCAGCTTTGACCGCTACCTGGCCATCGTCCATGCTGTCAGCTCTGGCTGGAAGCGCAACACCTGCCAAGCCCAAATTGTGTGCGCCATCATCTGGGTGTGCTGCCTGGGCCTGAGTGGAGTGGACATGGCCTTCAAACAGGTAGAGGAGGTGTACACTGTGGGCCATCAGAAGGCGTTCCTGTGCCAGTTGTGGTTCACTGAGAACTCCACCCAGTGGCAGGTGGGGCTGCAGCTGGTCAGTGTGCTTCTGGGTTTTGGGCTCCCCTTACTGATCATGCTCTACTGCTACATCCGCATCTTCAGGTCCCTTTGCAACGCTACTCGTCGCCAGAAGCGCAAGTCTCTCAGCCTCATTGTCTCCTTAGTTTCTGTGTTTGTCGTCTGCTGGGCGCCGTACAGCTGCTTCCAGCTGGTAGATAGTCTGAACAAGCTGGGCGTGGTGGCTGGAGGTTGCCAGTTTGGCCATGTGATGGACATTGGGACTCTGATCACTGAAAGCTTGGGACTGTCGCACTGCGCCTTGAACCCTCTGCTGTATGGCTTCGTGGGGGTGAAGTTCAGGAGGGAGCTGGTCAGAATGTGTAAGGGGCTGCTGGGACAGAGAGGCTTGCTGGGGATGGAGGGGTGGAGGGAGAGGAGGCTCAGGAAAACCACCAGATCCTTCAGCTCTACAGAAAGCGAAAATACCTCCTTCTCTGTGATGGTGTGAACCGAGAGACAGGGAGAGCGAGGTGTGTGTGTGTGTGTGTGTGTGTGTGTGTGTGTGTGTGTGGGTGTGTGTGGGTGTGTGGGTGTGTGGGGGTGTGTGGGCATGGGCGTGGGCGCGTGTGTGGGCGTGGGCGCGTGTGTGGGTGTGTGTGGGCGCGTGCGTGTGTGTTTTACGAGGGGGTTGGGGGTGAGAGAAAAATAGAAAGCGAACTTGAGTGAATTCAGAAAAAGAAAGGATTAAAATATGTAATATAAGTTTAGCTTAATTACAACTTTAAAATGTTCTCAGCGGGAAAAGTGAAGGATTTCTTCCACTGGTGCTTTGATATCTGATAGTTTGTGGTGCAGCTTCCAACATGTTTAAAACGAGACACCACATCCCATACAGTGACCCGGCCATCTAACTTTTTTGTGAGCGCTTGCGGATTTTTTTTTTTTGTGTATGTCCATAAATCCAATCTTGTGAAACGTCTAGATTACTTCATACTCCTAGAAAAGCTTGTTCAGCAGTTGAGATGAAGCTGTGGCCTCATATCTCACATCCTTACACTCGGTATATATTCTTATCAGATTCCACACTCTGTTTACAGAAAAACAAGTTTCAGATGATAAAATAGTGAAAATGGTCGTGTTGAAATTTCCATTTCTAGTTTGTTTTGTTTTTTCCGTGACCCATATAAAGCTGGTCTCTCTGTGCTTCAAAACTCTTCAGCAGTATAACTCATTTTGAATTTTGTATGTTACATCAAAACCTTGCTTGATGTTTGTGATGTGCCAAGATTTTTGGAATAAATATTTTGTAATACAATATAGTGTCCTGTTCTTATATGTATCAACATCTCAGGTTCTCTCTCTGCACGTTTAATTGGCCAACTTTTATCCAGCACAGCATGTAGTTGCCAAGTGCACTGACACGTCTTCTGGTTAATGTAAGTGGTTGAATTTAATGTATTTAAGTTCAAATCTGAGGTACTTGTACTTTACTTGAGTATTTTAATTCAATGCAACTTTGCACTTCTCGATTACAGGCCAAAGTTGTGCTTTTTACTCCATAGTCACTTTTGAGTCAAAACGGTCCAAAACCACTAGTTTAATCTTTGTCAATGCATTGCATTTCATAAGTTTATTTTTTAATAATAATTTATATAATATTTGTATGTAAAATACAAATGTCAAAAGTTAAAGTAGCTTAAAATTTAATTACTTAAGTAAAGTAGCATGCAACTATCAAATGATGTCTTTTATTCCACAGCAATACTTTGGTTGCACACCTCAAACACTATGTTATGTTTTAGTTTTCATCCTTCTGTCTGATTTTTTTTATTTATTTTTTTTTTTTGAGTAAAACCTTGATCCCACTAAAACATCCCGGTCACAGTCTGATGTAAAAAAAAAAAAAATGTAAAAGACCTATTGCGGATTTTCTTCATCTTCATTGTATTCATCCAAACGGGTAAACCCTCAGGTGGTTGGAGCAGGACTCGGGTTTAGAGCCTCGGGTTTAAACTCTTGTTCGGTTTGGAAACACAAACAGCTCCACCTCGTGGAAAGCGGCTCTTTGTGCGGCGCATTGTGAGATGCATTGTTTGACTGTACTTTGTGTTCAGCACTCCCGTGCGGTTCATAGTAGCATCAAGTCAGGCACAGTAAGCGGACGGCCGGAAACTGGGAAATTTGGCCTTCAGAATAAAGCACCTCAATCCCAAGATAATGGCAACGGCAGTAAGGATTGTGCCATTTAGTATCATTTAATGTGCTACTCGCTACAAACACAAGCACACTGTCTAATTCTCAGCCTCTCAGCTTATTTTATTTAGTATTTGTATCAGCTCACGCTGCAGGGATTTCCGATACACGTTTTATTTTGAAAAACAAAATCGAGCGCCTCAGTTTCTTTGTGTGTGTTGGTAGCGTTGTAGAGTATGCAATGTGCGAGACGAAGTGACATTTGATTAACCACAACAATCCGGTGAGAACGCAATTAAAGTGCACGTAAGTTCCTTCTGAGTTTATACTGTAGGCTGTGAAATCACTGTTTGTTCCGCGAAGTGTATCCGTGTTGTAAAACAGCTTGTGAGGTCGCAGCTTTGCTCAATCGTCTGATTCGTTTGTTCCTCTACCCGGGGTGCTGTTGTAATCGATGATTCCCCCGCATCTATTCCCCTCTAATTCTTACTTTAGTCATTGGCAAGTGTTCTCTCATAATAAGCAAGTATATGTTGCAGTTTATATGTAGCCTAGAGACATGATACATAATGTCAGTGGTAGCCAATGTTTGCGGTTCAGATATTCAAGCCTTCACCGGCTGTTTCTTTCTTTAGTTTCAGTTTCGCAGCTGACCTTTGCTGTGGAGCACTTCATGTCTATTTGCGCGAGCGTCTTTGACGTGTCGTATCTTACACCAGTACTTCTGGTTTCGTGGCATACGTGTTCGCGTGTCTATCTTCATCAACAGTAAAAACAGAGTGACTAGAGTTCACAGCCACTGTGCATACAATAGCTTCATAGGTAGTGTGTGCGTGACCAGGGAGAACTGTGCTTTCCGTTTAAACCAACTCCACTGTTGCCTCATATAGTGACATCATCACACCATGTGAGTTCTGAGTGGGTTGAGGCTTGTTTAAATCGGACTTCCCAAAGGGAGAATTTTCAGGACTCAACTCTCTCTCTGAGACACAGCTGACTGTCTCACACACACACATACACACAGAAGGAGGAGTATATAAACTGGTGTGTTTCGACATCTGTCCTCTGAGGCTCTGCAGCATTTTAGATTTCTCTCTCATTGCCTCCACAGTAGATGAACATGATTGTGGTGCTTGATGGATTATTTCGCCAGAACGGCACCTATGACTACAATGACAGCTATGAGTATGAAGAGGACATCGAGCCAGGGGCCAGTAAAGCGATGTTGACCCCGGTGCTGTACTTCTTGGAGTCGATTGTAGGGCTGCTTGGAAACGGACTACTCCTGGCCATTCTGGCTAAGAAGAGGCGATCCTGGAGCATATCGGACACCTTCATCCTCCACCTGTGTGTTGCGGACATCCTGCTGCTGGTGACGCTGCCCTTCTGGGCGGTACAGGCGGTTCAACAGTATGGATGGGGCTTTCTCTGCAAGATCAGTGGAGCTGTTTTTAATGTAAGTACCATGTGGTGTGTGTAGTACAGGCAGCGTCTGGGAAGTGAAGCTGTGAGAATGTTGTGTTTGGCTGTCGGCCATTATTTCCCTCTCAACCAAGGGTCATTGTACTTAAGACTCTTATTGAGCAAGTACACTCCCCGGTCACGTCCACATTTCAGCATTTCTAGGAGGAGGCAAGAGGAGGGGATCAGAGTAGAGGAGAAGTGAAACCTGGCTGGAAGTTTCCATCTTACACTAGATCACAGCTCAAGTTTTCCTCTTCTTTTTCCTAGATCAACTTCTACTGTGGCATCTTTCTGCTGGTTTGCATCAGTCTGGATCACCACTTGTCCATCTTCCACGCCACCCAGCTGTTCTCCCAGAAGAACCCCAGGTTAGCTCACATGAGCTGCCTGTTAGTCTGGATCGCCTCCCTTATCCTCACCATCCCCGACTGTGTTTTCCTGGTGGCGAGGAAAGATCCGGACCAGGGGAAAACCCTGTGTGCTCACAGCTACTCCCAGTCAGCAACTGATTGGCAGCTGGTGTCACGCGTTCTCCACCACACGCTGGGTTTCCTGCTGCCTGCAGCCACCCTGATCTTCTGCTGCTCCCGTGTCCTGCTGCAGCTGTGGCGCGGCTCTGACGGCCTCCGGAAGCAGAGGGCCGTCACCTTCATCCTGCCCCTGGTAGTGGTCTTCTTTCTCTGCTGGCTGCCGTACAACATCACACTCATTGTGGACACCTTCAGAAGCCGCTCGAAGCAGCCAGATCAGCCTGAAAGTTCCCTGAACACAGCTCTGGCGGTCACTTCTGCTTTGGGCTGCATGCACGCCTGCCTCAGGCCTCTGCTCTATTTCGGCCTATGTAGAAACGTCAGGAAACAGACACTGGCCATGTTTAGACATGCTAAAGTTGAATCTGAGAGCTCGCTGTGGGGCTTGGGTGTTGGCAAGGAGGCCCTGCCCGACCAAAATCCCGAAGGGGAAGCGCTGCAACAGATGATAAGTACAGATCATCAGGTGCCGTAAACTCAGTGCTGATTATTGGACAGAAATGCCCTCCTGTGACTCAGAAGGGATCAGAATGATGCTCCACCCCTGAGGGGAATTTAGGGTGAAGTCGTGTCATGGGTTCAAGGGCTGGAGGACCTTATGATGAGAAATAGATATTTTTAGAAAATTACTCTTAGAAATTGCACTTCAATGTGAAGGTTTCCGTGCCACGTCATGGTTGTATTTTGAAATCACTGTTGCATTTTAGCTTGTTACCCTAAATCATGAGTTTTTTTTATTCAATTGTAAATATCTGTATTTTTATTGTGTATTATTGGTGGTATTATTATTATTATTATTATTATTATTGTACTGTTTTATATAAGTGTCGGTGAACAGTGTTTAAGCTGTTAAAGAATCATAAAGCTTTAACGTCATATATGTGCCATAATGCTTAAAATTCTTGGAATGGAATAAGGTAATAGAGAAGCTCTTGTAAATAACAATACAAGATAATTCTTCAGTCAGTGTTATTGTGATCCTCCATCAAGTAGACCGACAGAGTTTGTTACAGTTTGTTGGATGACACAACTGATTCACTTCTTATGTCATCTTCAGGCAGTAAAGACTGTGGATTCCACGATTGTCCAGTGACTGTGTGTGTGACCACAGTGCAGTGAGGGAATTTCCTGTTGGCGAATCCCACAGCCTTATTTCTTTTTGAGTTCTTTGTTGCAACATGGATGTGTGGGGACTGTAGGACAGCGGATGACACAAACAGGTGGTGATGTCATCAGTCAGGTGACAGAAGAGGAGGAGGAAGAGGGGAAGAAAGACCTCAATACTGAAGCTCTTTCATAGCTCTCAGTTTACTCTCATCTAGAGACTTGTCTGTTTGTTTGGCGGAGTGAGAACAGTGGCATGCTTTATGCGTGAGCACAGTTGTCTGGAAAAGGGGTGTAGGTGGCAAATGGAAGAAAGAAGACCAGTTGGAGAAGACGAGATCTTATTCTAAAGATCACGGTGCACGTTGTGTTGAGCACGACATTTGTGGTTTCACCTCCACGTTGTTGGGTCAGGTTATAGCCTGCTAGGCACGCTTGATTTCTGCGCTCAAGGCAAGATAATGTTAATATAAATATGACCTGAAATAAAGTGGTCTTTCACACTTGGGTGTGCTTTTAGAAAGTCTGTGTAAAATAAGGTCACACAAGAAAAGAAAACACCTTCCCTCCTCTCAGACCGCCTATGTTCCTTCCTCTTTCTTATGGTGTTTCAGTTTGTCGAGAGCCAAAGCCTGAAAACTATGGTCTTAATGTTAGAAATGCGGCTTTCATCTGTGGCAGCAGCAACATGTCAAGTATATAGCATTACTGAGTATTGCCTCAGATTGAAGTGTTATTTCCTGTGTCAGCTAGAGCTTCTCACCAAACTTATCAGGACTTTTATTTAATGAATAAACCTGTTATTAGTAGACAAACACGACCTTTGTTGTACCGTCCACAGTAAAGGGAGTTGAGTCCGTCCACAATTCAAGGCTTTTTATTCGTCTAAGTACAAAAGTTAAAAAGAATTGAGCATCGTGACTCGATGACTGAAAACAAGACAAATGCATGTTGACCACATCCCACACAGCGCTTGATGTGTTTGAATGAACGTGCAGTCAAGCTGTTAACTCTGGAAGACTGCGGAAGAGTTTACGAACCCTTCGCTGGCTTTGTTCTCTACCTCAGTGACTGAACCAGTAGAGTAATAACAGGGTATCTATACTACTGGAATCAAACTTAAAGGGATGCTCTCTTTTTAACACCAGTGCCACCAGCCTGCTGTTGTGAAATGTTTGCTGCTCATGTAAATTATGAATGAGACGCGCTGTGATGGAAAACATAGTCTGCCACAAGTTACAGCATTTCCCTTTGCTCATCTATCTTTTTTTTGTCTTTTTTTGCATAGGCAACGTGTTTGAGGATGTGTGGTGGCTTTTTGTGACTTTAGTTTCCTGTCAAAGAGATGTAAGCTATTTCCACTGTAAACCCCTACGTGATGGTTCACAGTCAACTTGTTTTCTACGTAATCACCTGTATCCTGACTATATCATAAGCATAGAGAACATTTTTAGGGAAGTTAGGACATTAAAATATCTTAAATACTCAATACATGCAGAAAGAACAGAGAATACAAAAAGGGCCGTTGCACAATCTAACTTCTAAAGTTTAAATTGTGAAATTCATGCTGCAACCTATCCTCTATCATTTGTTACACGGTATACAGTATTTACTTGACTGATTTGATAACTTCTTTACTAGCTGTATAGGAAAAATGTGAAAACACCAGTTTCTGTTAATTATTAAGTAAAAATCTCACAAATAACAAATGTTTTTAGGGATAAATCACATGGGTGTTGGATAGCATTTTTGACTACCCAAAAACTAAACTTGAATATTTTCTAGGTATTTAAAACAATGTATTTATTCATTCATTTATCTGTTCAATTTTATTTTCTGTAAATTTTATTAAATTCTTTCTAAAATAATTGTCCTTTGAGGGGTCCTGTCAAGCTGTACTGTAATGTCAAAAATATACTGGTTTCTGATTTAAAAAAAATTCTGTATATTTGATTCTGTATTTGAACAATCCATGTACAAAAATAAAATACAACATACAGTAACCTATAATTGTGGTATAAGATATATTTCAAAGCAGGATATATAGCCTTAGTAATAATACTCACTGAAGTATATACATGCTATGTAGCAATGTAGCCTTGCACTCAGAAAATGGAAGTTACTTCTACAACAAGAAAAATAGATCTGCTTCCTACAAGTACAGGTGTTTGACCTCAAGTCCCAGACAGACAAAATGATTTTAGTCATGTTCATGTTGACGATGTTCAAGTTTAGCTACTAATACTGTGAACTATAGGACACTGAAAGAAAACATAGCATGTAACAGGTTATATGACACAGACAATTAACAAAAGCACCTGTATTTACGCTGAAACACGCTGTTTAAGCACGTTTGACAACGGAATTGCGTCCATGTTTGTGTCCATGTTTACTTCGTGTCAGCTGTTGTCATTCACATCCACTGCAACCGGAAAGAAACTGGGATTTACAAGGTTTATGCTTAAAACTTTGGAGTGCTCTATATTGTATACAATCAAATCAAATCCTGATTGCTCGTTTAAAGGCACAGTTTTCTTTACCATATGGGACCTTTCCGTAATTTTGTCAGCTTGGTCAGTTTTGTACATGTGCTTGTTAATACGTTGTGTCTCTCTTCTAAATAGCAATGGAGTTGGAGGTGTCAGCAGACTCGGACCAAATGGAGCTTCTCCTGCTGGTAACAGATTGCAGTTTGACGCTTGTCTTCAGCTTGCAGCCCAGAGATCTCAGGATGTCCAGGAGCTGACGCCGGAACTTCACACCCACAAAGGCATAGAGGATGGGATTGAGGCTGCAGTGGAGGAAACCCACGGAGGAGGTGATTATCTTGGCTGTTTCAAGAGACGTTCTGACCCCGCAGGTCTCGCTGCTGTTGCCGGAATGAAGTGTATCCACCATGAGTGTGATGTTGTATGGCGTCCAGCAGAGAAAGAAAACGGCCACTACTGCCACGATGACCCTGAAAGCTTTCTGCTTTTGGAGGCCCTGGGAGCCGCACCGCAGCCGGTGCAGGATGCAGGAGTAGCAGAAGATCAGGATGACTGAAGGCAGCAGGAAGCCCACCATGTGGAAGAGCAGACGTGATGCCAGTCGCCAGTCACCTACTGCCTCAGAAGCAAAGCGGAGGTAGTTGCGTACACACTGCATTTTTTTGCTTGTTCTATTCTCATTCACAGCTTCCAAAAAGACCCAGTCAGGGATAGAAAGGAGCAGGGAGAGGATCCACACTGCTAAGCAGCTGACCTGAACGACCCAGGGCTTCTTGCGGGAGTACATCTGGGTAGCGTGGACGATGGACAGGTAGCGGTCCAGACTGATGCAGGCCAGCAGAAAGATTCCACAGTAGAAGTTGATCTGAGGATACAAAGAAATCCGACACAAGTGAAAAATCTCTTTGCAACCATGATTTACTATCATGCACTCTAGTGCAGAGTTAGTGCATCTTTGCTGTTGCACTCCTCTTACCGTAAAAACAGCTCCGGTGATCTTACAGAGAGGAGTGCCGAAGGTCCATCCATGATCTTGAGCGGACTGCGCAGCCCAGAGGGGCAGAGTCACCAGCAGCAGGACATCTGCCACACCAAGGTGGAGGATGAAGGTGTCCGTTACACTCCAGGTCCTCCTGCTCTGAACCAGAACTCCCAGCAGCACTCCATTCCCCAGGATGCCCACAACAAACGCCACAGAGTACACAGCTGGGATGAACACCGACTCAAAATGCCCACCCTTGTTCGAGTCGCACATGTCCTCACAGCAATCGTATTCATCATAAGAGTCATTGGAGTACAACTCATCATCGAAAAGGCCAATGAGGTCTCCTCCGGTCAGTGTAAACACCCCGTCCATCAGTGAACTCTGCACAAAAAGAAGAAGAACTCTATACATGAATTCGGTCTGAGCACCACACGGTGGGGCTGTTTACACATTTATCCATCTATCTATTGTCTGTATCTGAATTATCTGCACATTTTTGAAGTTCATTTAAAATGCTCTGTGTAATACAATAAAGGAACAAACAAGACAGATCAGACCACATCAAAGTAAGATAACGATTCAAAACGCACACACACACACCAATCAATTATGTCAAACAAAAGAGGATAAGTCACCATATGCATTTTGAGCAAAATAAGTTTTTGGTCTTTGAGTAACTGGTTTGTAGTCTGTCTATTAGACATAATCCTGAAGTATTCTGGACAAGTTGTATCTCTGCTCACAACCTTTTGGGGTGCATTAGAGTCAATACTTTGAAGGCTAAAGACCCTTTTTGCCGTTCTTGTTAAATGTAAGCACCGCATCATTTCTTGACCGTGGTGTAACAATACCAAGTTCTGTGAGGTTTTATGGTATGATACCTGATCAACTTTATGACTTTCTGCCAATCAACATGATCTGAGTACCCTGTTAAGCTGGAGGAAATTATGACCACCTGAGTCATATTACTGTTCAGAATTGCTTTGAGCCGATTGGGGAAGGGAAAGTCATGCACATGAGGAGAGGAAACGTGCAATTTCAGTTTCAGAGTTTTCCGCAAGAGTCTTGATGCACTAAAATATTCATCACAATGTACCAAATAACCAAAATGGCATGACACAAGAATAACATGGACATGAAACAAAAATAATGAAATACAAATAAGTATGTGGATGAAAAGTGCTTTAATCTGTAACTTGTTGCATAAATTATCATTTGGTGATGATGAATGACTCAAATGCTGCAACTTTATACTGACTGGCACCGTAACGTTAACGGCACATTGTCACGCCACAAATCGCATCACAGTCTGACATACTGCAGTCTCTTACTGTGAACTAATATAACTAGAAAATGCATTTCCTGCTGAAAATGCGTTGGAATGCTGAAATCTGAAATTAATTGCAAAAACATTGCTGAAAATAGATATCCAATTTAAAAAATAAAAAATAAAAAAAAAATGCAAAAAGCTTAATAATTCAAAACGTTTAAAGATTACAAATATGAAAAGTCATATCACCCCTCTCCTGAAAGAGCTGAACATTTTGATATTCAAATGGTTTCTGTGGCTTAAAAAATTTCATCAGTGGTGATATTTGTTGTAGTAGAAGTATTATTAGTAGTAGAAGTATTAGTAATTAGAAGAAGTAGTAGAAGAAGTAGTATCAGTAGTCATAGTAATAGCTGTAGTATTGGTCATAGTATTTAATATAACAGTAGTAGAAGTAGTAGTAGTAATAGTAATGGCAGTAGAAGAAGTAGCAGTAGTAGTAGTAGTACTACTACTAGCAGTAGTAGTACTCGTAGCAGTCGTACTAATAGCTGTAGTAGTATTCCTAATTTTAGTAGCATGAATAGCAGTTGTAGTATAAGTAATAGTAGTAGTGGTAGTAATAGCAGTAGTGGTAGTAATAATATTTATGGTAGCAGTAATGGCAGTAGCAGTAGTAGTAATAGTAGCAACAGCAAAAGTTATAGTAGTAGTAGCAGTAGCAGTAGTAGTAATACTATATTAGCAGCAGCAATAGTAGTTGTCGCAGTATTAGTAAGAGCATTCATTTTTTTTAACAAAAAAGCCTAATTTTGAGCTTGTTTAAATACAGTTAAAGCATTGGCCTTTTATTTTTGAAAGGGTGGGGCTGGGGGGGGGGGGAGGGGTGATATGAATTTTCATATTTGTAATCTTTAAATTCTTTGAAATATTAAGCTATTTGCAATTTTCTTTTGAATGGGATCTCTATGGAGAAAATCTTCAAATCCTGTTAAACTTCTTCAACTTTCAAAGCCTTCTTCTCATACTTTCAGCTACATATGACTTCATATTTGTAATCTTTCAACTTTTTGAATTATTAAGCTTTTTGCAATTTTTTTTAATTGGATATCTATTTTCAGCAATGTTTTTGAGATTCATTTCAGCTTTCAGCATTCCAACGCATTTTCAGCAGGAAATGCATTTTCTAGTATATAATATAATACTATAAATAAGATTTAATTCATGTTTATCGGTAATTAGTTAACTAGGCAAAGATCACATAGACAAAACAGGTGAGAAGTACAAAAGCAGTTGAAATGCATTGATCAAATAATGAATAATGACATGTAATTTATGCATATATATATATATATATGCATCATCTGAATAATTAGGCTATGGCAATAACTTACCAATGTGTGATCTTTTGATATTGTTTTCTCCTCTGTGAGCAGGTTAACAAGGGCACACAGCTGAAATGATCAGTGTCACCAAAAGCACCACGTATAGAGCTACCAAAGGGGCAGCCCAGATAAAAAGCTGTACATCTAACCACGTATGAAACTGTTACGCATATGAGGAGGAACAAAACCCTGCAGGGGGTGTCATGTTATAGGGGAACTCAGGGGAACTGTTGTTTTGATTCTTGGAATTATTTTTGATTTCAACCACACTTTTAGTATTTTTGATGTTCTCTTCAAAGAAACAAGTATCTAAAAAAAACCACATGTGAGTAGACTGGTACACTTTCCATAAAAAGTGAATAACATTTCTATGAATTTATACCCACAGATACGCTGGCATGGTCATATGTAGAATGTAATCAATGTAACATTCAATTGAGATGTTGAAGCTATTGATTATATTTCTGAATTCCACATTTGGATTAGATAACTTTATTCACCCCCAGGTTTGTCATCTATTCACAATGACAATGGCAAAGGAGACACAAGTAAGGTCACAGCAGACAATATATGAAACTGCCACTATACCGTAGTAACACTAACACAGAAAGTAGACATATTCAAAGAGGACGTTAGTGTTTAGCCAAGTTAAAAGCCGATGTAGTAATTGAGCAGTATACAAGGATGATCATACTGTAATGATGCACCTAAAACAAGACTCTGCAATACAAATTAAATTAAACCTTTAAAAAAAACATATGCTATTATATAAAATACAGATTCAAGTACTTAAATGCAACTTTGATAGATCTAATGTTGCATTTCCAGAGACAACTGAAAATCGTACATACAAACAGCAGTGAAATGAGTTTCCAGAGGTCATGCTGTTCACCGTTATTAACTCACACACCAATTTTCAGAGACAACTGAGGTTTGTTCTTGTCTGAACATCTAAACAAATACAAAATAATAATGAAAAGTAATGAATGTACTTCTTCATGTTGGTTAATGTGTCTATCCTGACGAGTTCTAGACTTCTAGTAGGCCTATTGAGCTGTTTTTTGTCTTTTTGTTAGTGTTTTGCGCATTTCGTGCACATACACGAGGACGCAGATGTACGCAGGTGATGCGTTACACAGTGCTACTGATAGTGTCACACTATTCCTCTGATGCCAGGATATGCTGCAACGTGCCAGCAAAGACGAGGAAGAAGAAGCTCTCGAGTTCGTACTCACTGATGAACTTGGCAACAATAATATCAGCAACCTGTTACTATGAGAACAGGACTCGGAAACAAATACAATATCCAAACTCATGTTGAGCTACTGGATGTCTTGATATAACGCCAAGCCATCCGTCATGTTCCACATGCACATGGTTGTAGTGCTAAAACAGTCATGAATTGTCTTTATACTTTCAGTCCTTTTACGCACAAAATTGCACTTACAAACACATACACACACACGCATACACACACACACACACTGGCCGTCAGTTAACGGAGTTGCATATCTTTTCCACCACTCTGTTGAACTCCTCTGGTTGATCAGCATACACGTGGTGAGAAGTGTCGTCTATCAGGATGACTGGTTCCTAATCTGGACCACGCAATGCTGGATTTTAAGTATTTACTATGCAAATGTTTTATCGGGAAGGAATTGCACATTTGTTAAACTGCAAAGATAAACTCAAAGCAGTGCATGTGAAAATAACTCCACATTGCTCCTTTAATGGGCTTGATACTATTTATATATCACATATCAGTGTAAAATCTCACCATGAATCTTTTTCACCAGCCATATCATAACTGCAGTTGACTCCAAAACCTCAAGATTTTTATCTCAACTTTTTTTTTTCTCTGTGTTGTTCATTTGGAGTTTCACCAGCATGCAAATAAGACACCTGCGGCAGCACCGGGTTTCGAGTGTCTGTTTCCTCTCGCCCATCTCTTTAAAAGGCCCCGAGCTTTTTCCTGTTTGTTTCACACCTTTTCTTTCCTCTTTTGGTTCTTGCAGGGTTTATGCAGTTCTTGCAGTGACAGGCTGACTTGTGAAATGTAGCGTATTGGACTTGTCGGGTTAAATCATACGTCCCAAAAATCTCATGTGACATTACTGTTTTCAGATGTTTGGAAAGGGATGATTTATTTATTTGAAAGCATAAATAAGATGTGGGAAAGTTGTTTGCCTCAATGTGGTTTTAGACACTGAAGTGTTTCCTTTTGAGATCCACACAAGAAACACTAAGAAGCATGTACAGCAGTACTGTGAGGTTGATTCTAAGATGCTTTCCTTCAAAACACTGTCATATGCTTTTCCTGTTTTAGCTAAGGAAATGTTAGACAGGAAAACAACGCTGCACCACTTCTTTCACATTTTTAAATGGCTTTTGTCGATACTATCTATACTATAAGTTTGTGAAAAACCGAGATAAAGTGTGATAAACTTAAGTAAAATAATGTGTGTTTTTACAAGGTGTGTTCAATGTAGGTTGTGAGCATTTCCCTAAATTTAGAATGTTTTCTAGAACAACTGTGAAACCATGGAGATAGGTTAATTGAGGAACTGAAAGAACAAAAATACTTTAAAAAAATCATTTCCACATGCTAGTTTCTATAATCCCATCCTGCTGAAAAGCAACCATCATTTTACACAGCCAGTTGTAATCAGTGTGCTAATTTGACAAGATTCAGTGTTGCATTATCTTCCACTTCCTGTCATGATGGTGGTGAGATACATCGCTCACAACAACATAAATTGAATAAGCTATTTGTGGAAGATATATGAATTATTCGGGATGTTGATAAGGAAATATCAAAACCTTGAACACCTGCAGAAATGGCTTTGTATACCCTTCCATTTGAACATCTCCTTCCTTCTTCTGGTTTGACTGAAAGTGGTGTAACCACATTGTAGGTTAGTATGTCACAAACATCAGAACCCAAATGCATTAAAGGCCCTACATCCATGGCGGCACCGACAGTTACAGCATCTCATGATGCACTGAAATGTTTCAGTCCTCACACGTGAAGTCTGTTTGTTTACAAGCGTTCTCATTAACAGAAGGAACGAGGATACGGCTCACAATCTCTGACGAAATCCATTCTAGAATATGGCTTTTGGTTTCAAGCTGCCCGTGAGATTACCGGGGGTTTCTCCCTTTAGGTCCCGATAACAACACCTGAAGACTAGCACTCATCCAGTTAGTGGGGGAGACTCCAGAATGTAATCTTTAAACCTTTTTGTTTCTGTTAATGCACGTTTAGTACGGTTTTGTGTTGCATAAGGCTCAAATCAAAGATTTTTGTTTGAACGTGTTCCTCATGTTGTGAGGGAGCTGGTCGTGACGCACACGATTGTCTTTTACATTGTTCAACATGGTTTTTGCTGTTTGAGCGAGACACTGAAACCCAAGTTTCACAGCAGCAACCTGCTTCCTTAATGCTTAGGACGGTTTGAATGCAGAGGTGAAGTTTCATGTATGTACCTTTATATGACCACTGGAATCAGGTTATAATTGTGTGTCCATTCGTGGTCTTACAGATGCCAAGGTTCATCTGAGCTTAGACAAGATGGGGTTGTTTCTGTGCATTTAGTCTTACTCACATCTCATGTGTGGTCTCCATTCCTTTGCCCAGCCTTGGTTGACAGTAACTTGTAATTTTATATTGCAATATTGGTAAACAGGAATTTTAAACAGTTCATTGATTTGCAGCATTGCCCACA